TAAAAACTCCGCTTTAAAACTTAAAAACTTACGATTTTACACTTCTAGATTATCAAAACGTTTCTATGTAGAAACTCGCTTTTTACTACATTGCTCGTACCTGATGATCATGATCATATGATTAGTTGTTTAAGACGGTATGTTCTTGATTCGTAATGTTGGTTTTGTGGAGTCACACACGAAGGAGATTTTGAAGTCGTCATTTGCCAACATAAAATTTTAAAGCATAGAATCGTATGCAATTGGAGGACTGATGCTCGGAGACTGCTCGCAATTGAAGTCTTTTTTTTTTATTAATGATCGTAAATTTTTTTTTAAGAAAAATGACCTAATGAATGTCAAAAAATTGGTTTAGTGGCAATGTGAGAATGACAACATCCACAATACCGTACTTCTAACTTGAAATCAACAAAAGGGGGAAAATTGAAATATATGCATGAGAATGAGAAGCAATTGACTGTTTTTTTATGGAAACCTGTAATCTCATTGATAAAAACTCAGCTGCTACATCGTCAAGCTTCAATTGATCAAGCAAGCAAACTGGTGGTTCATCGAGCCACACCATTCTTTCGTCCAGTCTTGTATAAGTCCTAGCGATCATGTGAGCGGCACCATTAGCTTCGCGGGGAATGTGTCTCCAGTTGGCCCCATTGTTGCGAGCCAAACTCCGTTTGATGCTGCGGCAAATCACCCCTATCTCTGAATGATCCTCCTGGGCGCAATTGAGCTTGCTTATTACCTACATGTTGTCACTTTCAAGGAGAATTTTTTGTGCTGGGAAGCAAAGAACTCAACTGTGCTCCCATTTCAACCGCCAGGGCCTCCGCCATCTCCACACTCCATCCTCCAGTTACCCTCTTAGCTGCAGCTAGCCTAAACTTCCCATTGATGTCCCGCGCCACCACTCCCAATCCGATCCCATCATCGACGAAGGTAGCTACATCCGATGTGATTGAGATCCATCCTGGTTCTGGCCGAGTCCATTGTTTGCTAGTATGTTCATGGGTAGCTATCTGCTCCTTCAGGTGATGTGCCTTATAGTTCGATAGGAAGAATCCCGCCCTCGCAACAATGGTGTCTTCTGGTAGTTTTGCACTATTCCACATGTGGGCTTTCCGTTCTTTACATAGGAACCACAATAGTACACTCCAACCCTCAACAGCAGCATCATCGTTCGTCTTCATAACCGTGTTGAACCACTCGAGGCAATTACCTGTACCTCGGCTCTCGAAGGAGTCCACGAATGTCGATTTCCGCCAAATCCGACTAGTCCATTGACATTCACTAAAAAATTGAACTTGCGTCTCCCGTAAGTTACAGAAAACACATCTGTCACCCCATCTGTTACTACGAGACTCGACATGGTCCCCAGTTGGGAGTACATTCCTAGCGAAGCGCCATACAAACTGCCGGACTTTAGGGGGGATTTGTATTTTCCATAGCCGTGTCCATATGGCTGCTTCCCCATGCGTCCCGATTCCAAGTTCCTCCCTAGCCTTTTCGAACCATCTTCTGTAACCCTCCTTTACTGTGTACAAGCCATTCTCGTTGTCATCCCAAATGAGCTCGTCCTTTTCCTCTTCGCTACGCAATGGGATCCTGGAGATGGGTTGGACAACCTCAGGTGAAAAGCAGCTCCCCAGTAATCCCATATTCCATGTTTCACTTTCCTCTTTGATCAGTTTGCGAACCACCGCATCTACCGGGAGGCCCTTTGGCGACAAGGGGATAAAGTGAGATGGAATGCTTGGAACCCACTTATCACCCCAAATCATGATCGACTGCCCGTTACCCACTCTCCATCTTAGCCCATCACAAAGGAAATCTTGGGTTGACATGATGCTTCTCCATACATAACTCGGTCGGTGTCCCGCTCGAGCATCCAGAACCGACGAATTCCTGTGATACTTCGCTTCAAAGATCCGAGCTACCAAGGAGTCAGGTTTTTCGTACAAATTCCACAGCTATTTCGCGAGCATCGCCGCATTAAACCCACCCAAGTCTCGGATCCCCATACCGCCATCTTCTTTTGGGCACATCAACTCCTCCCTGCTCATCCAATGTGCCTTCCTCTCCGTTCCGCACTGGCCCCACCAAAAATTCACTATTAATATGTTTGCTTCCGCTAACACACCTTCTGGGATGCGGAACACAGACATCACATACGAAAATTGTGTCTGTGCAACAGATTTAATAAGTACTTCTTTCGCAGCTACCGATAGGGTACGTTCCTTCCATCCCTTCAGTCTCTTCCGGAGTCGGTCCATAACCTCAACAAAGAGTTCTTTTTTGGATCTCCCAGCCACCGTCGCAAGACCTAGGTATTTGTTATGCTTTTCTACCTTTTCCATACCCAGGGTTCCGCACACCATGAGCTTGTTGTGCATCTTCACATTCTCACTGAAGGAGACGGATGACTTCTGGAATTTGATCAACTGGCCTAACTCCCTCTCATAATCCTTTAGTATCTTCTTTAGTTCCTCGCTCTCCCGTTCTGTAGCCCTTGCAAAGAAAATGCTATCGTCCACAAAGAATAGGTGCGACACAATCGGAGCCCCACGAGCTGCTTGGAAACCATGGATCCTTTTCTCCTTCACCGCCAGAGACGTATAGGAGGACAACCCTTCTGCACACAATAAAAACAATTACGGTGAGAGGGGGTCACCCTGTCGAAGGCCCCGACTAGGGACAATCTTCGGGAAAAGATGATCGTTAACAAGGATGGAGTATGTGACCGATGTCACACACTTCATAACCACTGAAATCCAGTGCTCTGCGAACCCCATCTGCCGCATCACACCTTCAAGAAAATGCCACTCAACTCTATCATATGCTTTCACCATATCTATCTTTGCTGCCAGGACCCTCACCTTACTCTTCGGCTTCTTTTTCATTGAATGGAAACATTCAAAGGCTGACATCACATTGTCTGTGATCAACCTTCCCGGGACGAATGCGCTCTGCTCTGGTGATATTATCTTATCCAGGATGGTCTTCATACGATTAGCCAACACCTTCGTCACCAATTTGTATAATACATTAGATAGACTAATTGGCCGAAAGTCCTTCGGTGAAGAAGGTTCCTTCACCTTGGGTATCAACGCAATTAGTGTATGATTCAGGTCCTGGGGAAGCTCACCCCCTGCAATAACATCCCGGACCAATTTCCACACATCAGTGCCAATAATGCTCCAGTATTTACGGTAAAACAGGGCAGAGAAGCCTTCAGCTCCTGGGGCCTTCCTGGTGCCCATCTGTTTTAATGCTGCGAATACTTCCTCCCGCGTGACCTCCTTCGTAAGCTCCTCATTCTCCGCTTCTGTGACACTCGTCCTGATCGAGTCCGAAACTGGGCTGTTCACCGAGATAGCGCCTGCACAGAAAAGAGAGCCATAATAGTTTGTTAGAACTTCAAATAGGCTCTCCTGTCCCGCGTGCCAGGCGCCAGTTTCATCTTGCAATTTCTTGATGGTGTTCCTCCTATGCCTGGATGAGGCTTTCCGGTGAAAGAAGTTCATATTACGATCGCCCCCTTCAACCAGTCAGCCCGCGAACGTTGTTTCCAATATGCTTCTTCATTCTCCTCCAGCTCATCCAGCTCAGTTTCGAGCTTCTTCATTTGATCCAGTACCTGGTCCAACTTCTCCCTTCTCTCAAGCGCTCTCATGGTTCTTCGAATGTGCTCTTTTTGCCTTGAAAATCTAGGGAAAGTCTGCCAACTCCACCCGTCCAATCGATCCCGGCAGGTAGCCAGTCTCGACGTTGCGCAGTCGCCTGAACTGGCGCCCCAGCCTTCCTCGATGATCTTCGAGCAGTCAGTATGGGTAGTCCACATAGGCTCAAATCGAAATGACCAGCCCCACTTTGGTTCCTCATCAGTGTCACCCAAAGTGTTACATAAGATCGGTCTATGATTTGATCGCCTCTTGTCTAAGTGTATGACCTTGTTCGATGGGAACATGTCATGTCAGCTTTCTGATGCCACATATCGGTCAAGTCTTTCTTCTATGTAACGACCTGCTTGACGCCTATTTTCCCATGTATAATTATAACCAAAGAACCCTAAGTCCTGCAAACCTACTTCTGAGAGACAGTCAGCAAACTCCATCATACGTTTGCTGTCGGCCAAATTACCTCCACTCTTTTCCTCATTGGAGAGAACTTGGATGAAGTCCCCGCCACAGATCCAGCTTCCATTCCACTGCGCAGCAAGCCTTCGGATCAGGTCCCAGGTTTGATCCTTCTCCGAATCTACCGATCACCCATAAATACCAGAGAATCTCCACATTCCAATTTTTCCATCCTCAATTTTTGCATCGATATGATGAAATTAAAGGAGGCCGACATGGGAGTCAGTGTAACCTCCTCGGACCACCACAAGCTTAACCCGCCAGCTTTCCCTCCGCGAGACTGATCCGTCGGCCACACCTCTCCCTGGGTAAAGCCTAGTTCACTCCTTAATCATTAGTCTAAGCTTTTGATTGCTTAGTCTCCATTAGGAAGACCAGCTGTGGGGAAACCTGTCGCACCAGCGACTTCAAAGACTGAACTGCTCGTGTGTTCCCCAGCCAACGCAGTTGTAACTCAGGATTCGCATTAATGACCTGAAGGGGATAGGTTCCCCGCACCATCATGTTTTGCAGTTCCTTGTACCTGATTATCAGCTGGTTTTTCTTATTAAGTTTATCTTCCTTTTTCCGAACCGCCTTTCTTTGAGTGTTTCTCCTTTGTTTGCACTTGTTTTACTCCCTGGCCTTGCCCACCTTTCATACTAGCCCCTTCTTTCACCTTACTCGCGTTTTCCTGAACCTTACTCTTTCCCCCTGTACTCCCCTCACTTGCCCCCTTGTTCTTCTGTACATTCAGCGGTCCACCTCCCCCTGTCGGGATACTCGCCCCCACCGTTTTGGTGGTCTCCTTAGGTATTGCATCCTCCCCCGTAGTAACTTCCTCTTGTAGTACCGAAAACTTGTTCATATCCCCTTGATCACTCTCTCTCTCTACTTCACCGGGAATTGGTGGTTGTTTAATGGGGTATTGGGCTTGTGCACTCGACATTCTCGACGCTGAACGATCATCCAATCACCATAAACCCGACCCTTCGTCCGCAATTCCGGCTGAGTTTCAGGCACCATGTCTGGCGTAGCGTGGGTTTCATCATTGTTCATGTCCTTACAGCCACACTGTTGGGTAGGTTTGCCATATCTCCCGCAGTCAGTACACAGGTTTTCCAAGCCTTCATATTGGATGAGATATTCTTCCCCTTCGATCTTGAATTGAGATAGTAGGGGCTTAGTAAAGTCCACCTCGACACAAACCCGGGCATATTTCCCACGTTCTCCAAATTCAGTCGCCATGTCCACCCGAATAAGCTTCCCGATATATGATGCTATCTTCATGACCGCTTCTTCGTTAATGAACTCAATAAGAAGGTCCGGGAGCTGCGCCCAGACCATCCTGAAGTTGTCTCCGACCTCCAGGGGTTAAAACCTTTGTACCAACGTGTGACCGTGAGGTACGTCTCACCTAGGAGCCACAGACTTTGTTCATCGCAAACTCATAATCATCTTGGTGTCGGAATCGCACCAGGAAACACCCATTTTTCATATCTGAGATCTGGAGCTCACCGTGCTTCCCCCATAAGCTATTCAGCTTACGGGAAAGGGGAAGGAACGCTACTCGCCTGCCCAATCCCTTTACTACAAGCGCAGATCTCCACTCACGCCTCCAACGAATTTTCTCTGCTGCCGTGAAAAGGATGGTCGGACAGTTTGGGTTGTTCTCCTGCTCATCACACACATCATCATCTTCCTTTACCGCTTGGAGAATATCCTCCGTATCCGACTCGGCCACATACCAGGCTTCCCGCCCAAGCTGGCGGGCGAGCATCCCTGATCGTGTTGACCTCCTCTTCCATCTCCATCTCCGTCGCATGCTGGTTACCGCCCAGACCTACGCCCTTCTGGTCCAGGTTGATTGCGCGGGGACGTTTCTTAGCCTGGGTAAATTCCTTTGCCGTCTTGTTATTCGGTGAAGAGGACCAGTCTGCAAGTCGCCGACTGCCGCAAATGGGATCCGACGGCTTATTCCCTTCAGCCGGCAGCGAGGACGGCTTTGCCTTCGCCATGCAAACCCTAGACGTCACCAAAATTCGAAAATCGCTCGAGAAGCCCTAGCTCAGAAAAAAGCGTTTTTTTATCCCCCTCGATTTATTAAGGTTTATTATTGGGCTGAGAAGCAATTGACTTTGGCTTGCGCAGCTTAGACAAATTATGTTTACCTAATCATATTAATAATAACTCTATTTTTCATTTCACGAATTCAACCACCCGATAATATATTAGAGAAACATCATGCATTCACGTTATCTATTTAAGTAGTTGACTTGGTTTACATTATTTTGATGATGATGATGATAATAACAACAACAATAATAATAATAATAATAATAATAATAATAGGGCTAATACCACTGGAAATACCAACCTTTAGTAAAAGTGTCATTTATATTACGTAAATTCAATAAATACAATAATATTCCAACCTATTAGATGTTTGCGTCATTTGTGTTACGTGAATTTCTGTTGACCGTTAGAACTAACGGTTGACCTAATGGCGGTCAAGCTTTGACTGACCACTGATGAAGTGGCGCCTATGTGTGGTCCACATATGCAACACGTAGATGCCACGTGGGAAATTAGATTTAACATTTAAAATAAAATATATATTTAATTAATTAATTTTTTTAATAAATTTATTTTTATTATATTTTCTCACCTGTTCCCCTCTCTAATCTCCATCACTCGTTCGTTGATTAGAATGCCCAACGCAATTTGGGGATTAGGGTTTGGGGGTGGAGATTGTGAGATCCAGTTCGCCCTCCAATCTTCCCACCTGTATTCTCACCCCTCCTCTCACCCGACCATTATTCCACCATCAGTTTCCGTACACCAGAACAATAACAACATCAATGAAGCGCCGGTTTGCATAACTGAGCCTCCGCCGGCTCGATTTCCCCGTCGGCGGCGACAATATCCGTTCGTTCGCCGAACAGATCGTGACTCCCCTACTCCCGACCATCCGAGCAAATTACGACGCCCACGTGGACATCTCAGACCCAGATCTGGCACACATCGTGGCAATTGATTTCCTCTTCTTAGTCGAGTTGCTTCTGCAGTCAAACGATCGGACCCTGCTTAATTGATGAACGGCGTCGGGATGCTCGGAAACCAATTCCCCATCTTCTCAATAATCGATCGCATCAAATCGATAACCGCCGCTGCTAATTTCTACAACCAGCAGATCTTCTTTTTTGAGAGTAGGTGGGTCAGTTTTGCCGGCGAATTTCTCCCATGCAATGGGCGACGGAGAAGACGGCGTTGCGGGAGGAGCAGCAGCGGCGGCGACCTCAGCATTTGTTGGACTAGTTGTAACTTCAACACTGTTGGATTAATGAAAGCCGTGGATTCAACAACTGGGAAGCTAATTCGTCTTGGTCGATGTCGCCTCCGGAAAGAAGTAGCAGAAGCCCCCCTCATGCTTGACCTCGGAATCAGCTCGATCGCCTCCAACTCCCCCTCCACTCCACTTGATTGTCGATTGATTTCACCCTCCTCGTCGATTTTGAGAAATTCTTTTTCTAGGGTTCTTCCTCTATTCGTAATCGAGAATGACGAAGAGGAAAAGATGAGAACAAAATGAATGTGTTACTGGGGCCTCCTCGTTTTTGCATATATATATATTTGTTTTTTATATTTTAATTGGGTAAATATTAAATAAACAAATACTTAAATGTCCACGTCAGCGAACCACGTAGGATCCTATTAGGTGATGACTGGACGTTGAAAAGTCTCACAGTTAAATTTAACGGCCCAACTAACGGAATAGACATTTTGGTATACAAATGTCATATCGATAATTACGTAATATAAATGACACTTTCGCTAAAGGTTGGTATTTCCGGGGGATCGGTTAGCTTGACTACCCCCTAAAGGGGTAGTGATTTTTGACACCCCTCTTAGATACCATCCATCTAATCCAATGGTAAGTATTAATCACCTGTTTTTTATACATTAATTACATAATTAATTTCTCTCACCACATTGGAAAAGAGAAAGAATCTGGGGAAAAACGATTATCACCCCCCATTCGAAACCCTTTTCTTCTCCCCTTTTTTCTCTCCCTTTCGTTTCCTCCTCTCTCCCTCGATTCCCTCTTCCCCTACTCGCCGTCGTCGCTTCTTCACCGTCACAGTCCACATCTCCCTCCGGCTCTGTCCCGCATCCTCCATCGTGGCTATGTCTTAGATCGTGACTATCGCTGTTCTCCGAGCAACGCCAAGCTTGCCGTAACTCTCCATCTCCTTCCACAAGCTTGGCACTGTGAAAGGATCGACGGAGAAGACAATGATCATCCTCACCTTCCCGACAAAGATGACGACCCGCCTCCCCTTCCTACACTAGCCATCCTTCCCTTACCGACGACGACGACGAAGAATCTGAGGTAACTCTCTCCGTCCCACTATCTGTCTCTCCCATACCCAGATCTGAGTTTTTGGTGTAGAATTGGTATTGATACCAGTGAACTGGTAGTTTATGATTATACTCATATGTGAGTACTGGTATTGGTACCAGTGTAATGGTAGTTTATAATTATCCTGGATTTTTCTAGATTTGTGATTTTTTAATTATTCCTTATCAGTCTAGTTTTTCTCTCTCATACCCACGAAGATGTGTTTTTTTCTTGTGGTAATGTTACCACTACAATGATAATTGTAGTGTTTGAGTTTTTGTTGAATGTTATTCCAGTGGTATGTCTATCACTGGAGTGGTATTTAGATAGTTGATTCTTGGATAATGTAGTGTTGTTTATTTGACTGCAGTCTATCAACACATTGATATAGTTAACCATGTGAATATTTTGGTGGCATATTGTGTCTATCACTTTAGTGGTAGATCTATCACTGCAGTTGTTGATCTATCGCTGTAGTGGTAGATCTATCGCTGCAGTGGTAGTTCATTGTGATGTTTTTGTGGTAGTGCTATCAATGTAGTGGTACAAACAAAATCATTATGGTTGTTTAAAGTACAACTACCGTAGTAGTAGTTATGTTTAGAATGGCTTTCTAGGATAGAGCCAATGGATTGATATATCTGCAGTGAAAGTCTTATTGTTGATCTCATCTATCAGTAGTTATATTTATTGGTTTGACTTTTGATTTTACCTTCTTTGATTTCAGTCAGAGCAGTGAGTTCCTCGGGAAGTTGTGGAGCGGCGTCGGATGCACGCTAGGAAAGACAAATCACACGGAGCAGGGAGTAGAGCACGTTCCGGACTACAAGCGAGAGCGATTAGGGAGCTTGCAAAATGGAGCAATGACAATGAAGATATTTATGGTCCAGCAACTCTTAATGTCGAGTTTCAACGAAAGTTAAAGAGGCTTGAGGTGGAAAAATATATTGTATTCATTTGGTTAATCAAATTGATGAAGAATTTAATGGATGCATATTCTGGGAACTTTAATGGTATTTGGTGCTCTATTTTCACATTAGTAGTATCCTTCCCCCAATTCTTATAGTTTAGTGGCGTATAGTGTATTTCTCCCATACAAAATACAAATGAAGTGGTACATTATAAGTGGCAAATACGAGTTAGAGTGAGAACAATACCAGTGCAATGATATTTTTCATAACAATGATAAACAATAACAGAGCAACAATGCAGTACCACTTCAATGATACAAATACCACTCCACTGGTACACGTACCACTCCACCGGTACACGTACCACTCCACCGGTACACGTACCACTCCACCGGTACACGTACCACTCCACCGGTACACGTACCACTCCACTGGTGCGAGCAATCCACAAGGTAGGTCAGAGGAGATCCCAGGATGGCGGCAGCTGGAGATAGGAGGATGGTGGTGGGGGAAGGCGCTGGAGGAGTACGACGGTTGGAGGGATGGAGGCGGCACAGGTGGAAGGCGTGGATGAAGATGGCGGAGAGGGGTGATGGCGGTGGCGGCTGCGGGAGGAAGAGGAAGATGAAGATGAAAATGGGGGAGGGTTTTGGTCGTTTCAGAGTAGAGGAAGGTTCTGGTTAAAATGAAATCAAAATGGAAAGGGGGCCCAAATGGAGAGAGAAAGAGACGAAAAGAAGAAAAAAAGGCAATTAATTGCACATTTGGGGGGAGCTTTTTCTTATTCCCCAAATTCTTTCCCTTTCCAATGTGGGTGAGAGACCCCAAATTACAAGATTAAAAAAAATAAAAAACCATTTTAATTAATACTTGCCAATGATTGGAAATAAAATTGGCCAATCATAAAGGGGGTGTCGAAAATCACTACCCCTTTAGGGGTTAGCATAATATCCGACCCCTATTTCCGGTGGTATTAGCCCATAATAATAATACGGCATGCTCGTAATGGGAATATGGGATGCTTGTCTCTTTACCTCATCGATCTGTCTGGGCGGTTCAATAATTATTGGGCTTGGTTTAACATTCTTCATTTTTAAGTATACCGTACTTGATACTTCTGAACAAACCATAGCTGATTTTGGGGTACAAAACAAGAAATTATAGTGACGGAAAGAAAGATAAAAGCCAGAATAGGACTAATAAAGCCATTGGTGAAAATCAAGGGCATAATAGGAGAAAATACAACATTGGTAACAATTCAAAATAATGATCATGCATTGAGATGTAAATAATTCAACATTCTTATAACCTTTTCATAAATAATTCAAAATAATCCAAATAAGTTATTAGAGCACAAGCCTTTGAAAATTGACCGGCAATAAATATTCATCAATATTAAAGATAAACTTGTAAGCTGTGAAAAAACAAAACTTTTAGGAATAAATAAGTGTGGTTTATGATTATTGTGCGTTAACCGTTGTGGTTAATAATGAACCACAAGTAACAAAACAAGAATTTTGTTAATCAAAATTAAATCCACTAACAAAAATGTGTGTGTATAATTAATCAAATTATGTGTGATTCCATGTGGTTTGCAGTTAACTCAGAAACGGCAAGCCAAACTTCCACCCAAGCTATTTTAAAAAGATAAGGGTAAATACAAGTTATCATCAAAATCTTTCGAACTTTTTGAATAATTAGCGAAACCATTCGAAATACAAAATATTAGTCAAATATTTTGAAATATATAAAAATTAGTCATTTGTCTGTTACCATTACTATTTTTGTAGTTCTTTTCTAAGTTAAAATACTATAGTTTTGAATTACCGGAAAAATATACTATACTTTTGCAATGTTGATCGTTATGTATCTCTTTCAAGTCAATATCAAATTGCCAAGTCAATATAACTAACCAAAAAGCTAATGAGAAGTTAATAATTGACTAATATTTTATATTTGAAAGACTTGGCTAATAAATTGTATTTACAAAAATAAGATATAATCTAAAAATGTGCAGTGTTTCTGCTTTGGGGGCCATGAACCAGCGTCCCAGTTTATTGGGCCACTAATTTAATTGTCTTTCAGTTACAAACGTACATATACTTAGGGCCTTTAGCATAGGCCCAGTAAAACTTGTTTTGCATCCTTCTCCAGTAATAATTGGTTGGACGAGGCCCAGGCATATTCTATTATCTAATTTAATTATGTCTTTCTTTGATTATTATTTCTCTAAGATCTTCCTCAGAAAATGTTATTTTTTGTGTATTGAATTTGATTTACTCATTGATAAATATCAGTGGTTTATGTCTATTTAATATTAGTAATCGTTTCCTTATCTAATTCTAAATCAGAATATTATTTTTTATATTTATTACGTTTTTTTTTTCATATTCATTGATTATTTCCCATAAGTTTTATAGTTTTGTTCAAAAGTTTTCAATTTCAATTTTATTATTTTTCTGTCTAGAAGGATTTCTCATTTTAATATATTTAATGAATTAATATAATGTTGGATGGTTATAGAAGTTTTGGGTATCAAAAGGTAATTAAAAGTAAGTAAAAATTTGGTGTACTTTTTTCGAAAGGCCATTTTCCTTGGGTTTTGAAAGCTACAAATCACGGATTCGGCCTGAGGCTATTGTTCGACGATGATTAAGTCCATTGAGCACCGATTTGGGCGGATTTCTTCCGGGTCCATTTTTGGCAGATTCGAAAGGGGTACCATCACAGATTTCGAGCGATTTTTCCAAAATGCCATTTTCTTTCGATTTTGGAGGCTACATATCACGAATTTAGTCCGAGGCTATTCTCCACCGATAATGAAGCCTATTGATCATATTCTCCACCGACGATTAAGTCCATTAAGCACCGATTTTGTCGAATTTATTTTCGGATGGCATTTTCGTAATTTTTTGGGGTACTTTTTTCGAAAGGCCATTTTCCTTGGGTTTTGAAAGCTACAAATCACGGATTCGGCCTGAGGCTATTGTTCGACGATGATTAAGTCCATTGAGCACCGATTTGGGCGGATTTCTTCCGGGTCCATTTTTGGCAGATTCGAAAGGGGTACCATCACAGATTTCGAGCGATTTTTCCAAAATGCCATTTTCTTTCGATTTTGGAGGCTACATATCACGAATTTAGTCCGAGGCTATTCTCCACCGATAATGAAGCCTATTGATCATATTCTCCACCGACGATTAAGTCCATTAAGCACCGATTTTGTCGAATTTATTTTCGGATGGCATTTTCGTAATTTTTTGGGGTACTTTTTTCGAAAGGCCATTTTCCTTGGGTTTTGAAAGCTACAAATCACGGATTCGGCCTGAGGCTATTGTTCGACGATGATTAAGTCCATTGAGCACCGATTTGGGCGGATTTCTTCCGGGTCCATTTTTGGCAGATTCGAAAGGGGTACCATCACAGATTTCGAGCGATTTTTCCAAAATGCCATTTTCTTTCGATTTTGGAGGCTACATATCACGAATTTAGTCCGAGGCTATTCTCCACCGATAATGAAGCCTATTGATCATATTCTCCACCGACGATTAAGTCCATTAAGCACCGATTTTGTCGAATTTATTTTCGGATGGCATTTTCGTAATTTTTTGGGGTACTTTTTTCGAAAGGCCATTTTCCTTGGGTTTTGAAAGCTACAAATCACGGATTCGGCCTGAGGCTATTGTTCGACGATGATTAAGTCCATTGAGCACCGATTTGGGCGGATTTCTTCCGGGTCCATTTTTGGCAGATTCGAAAGGGGTACCATCACAGATTTCGAGCGATTTTTCCAAAATGCCATTTTCTTTCGATTTTGGAGGCTACATATCACGAATTTAGTCCGAGGCTATTCTCCACCGATAATGAAGCCTATTGATCATATTCTCCACCGACGATTAAGTCCATTAAGCACCGATTTTGTCGAATTTATTTTCGGATGGCATTTTCGTAATTTTTTGGGGTACTTTTTTCGAAAGGCCATTTTCCTTGGGTTTTGAAAGCTACAAATCACGGATTCGGCCTGAGGCTATTGTTCGACGATGATTAAGTCCATTGAGCACCGATTTGGGCGGATTTCTTCCGGGTCCATTTTTGGCAGATTCGAAAGGGGTACCATCACAGATTTCGAGCGATTTTTCCAAAATGCCATTTTCTTTCGATTTTGGAGGCTACATATCACGAATTTAGTCCGAGGCTATTCTCCACCGATAATGAAGCCTATTGATCATATTCTCCACCGACGATTAAGTAAGCACCGACGATTAAGTCCATTAAGCACCGATTTTGTCGAATTTATTTTCGGATGGCATTTTCGTAATTTTTTGGGGTACTTTTTTCGAAAGGCCATTTTCCTTGGGTTTTGAAAGCTACAAATCACGGATTCGGCCTGAGGCTATTGTTCGACGATGATTAAGTCCATTGAGCACCGATTTGGGCGGATTTCTTCCGGGTCCATTTTTGGCAGATTCGAAAGGGGTACCATCACAGATTTCGAGCGATTTTTCCAAAATGCCATTTTCTTTCGATTTTGGAGGCTACATATCACGAATTTAGTCCGAGGCTATTCTCCACCGATAATGAAGCCTATTGATCATATTCTCCACCGACGATTAAGTCCATTAAGCACCGATTTTGTCGAATTTATTTTCGGATGGCATTTTCGTAATTTTTTGGGGTACTTTTTTCGAAAGGCCATTTTCCTTGGGTTTTGAAAGCTACAAATCACGGATTCGGCCTGAGGCTATTGTTCGACGATGATTAAGTCCATTGAGCACCGATTTGGGCGGATTTCTTCCGGGTCCATTTTTGGCAGATTCGAAAGGGGGTACCATCACAGATTTCGAGCGATTTTTCCAAAATGCCATTTTCTTTCGATTTTGGAGGCTACATATCACGAATTTAGTCCGAGGCTATTCTCCACCGATAATGAAGCCTATTGATCATATTCTCCACCGACGATTAAGTCCATTAAGCACCGATTTTGTCGAATTTATTTTCGGATGGCATTTTCGTAATTTTTTGGGGTACTTTTTTCGAAAGGCCATTTTCCTTGGGTTTTGAAAGCTACAAATCACGGATTCGGCCTGAGGCTATTGTTCGACGATGATTAAGTCCATTGAGCACCGATTTGGGCGGATTTCTTCCGGGTCCATTTTTGGCAGATTCGAAAGGGGTACCATCACAGATTTCGAGCGATTTTTCCAAAATGCCATTTTCTTTCGATTTTGGAGGCTACATATCACGAATTTAGTCCGAGGCTATTCTCCACCGATAATGAAGCCTATTGATCATATTCTCCACCGACGATTAAGTCCATTAAGCACCGATTTTGTCGAATTTATTTTCGGATGGCATTTTCGTAATTTTTTGGGGTACTTTTTTCGAAAGGCCATTTTCCTTGGGTTTTGAAAGCTACAAATCACGGATTCGGCCTGAGGCTATTGTTCGACGATGATTAAGTCCATTGAGCACCGATTTGGGCGGATTTCTTCCGGGTCCATTTTTGGCAGATTCGAAAGGGGTACCATCACAGATTTCGAGCGATTTTTCCAAAATGCCATTTTCTTTCGATTTTGGAGGCTACATATCACGAATTTAGTCCGAGGCTATTCTCCACCGATAATGAAGCCTATTGATCATATTCTCCACCGACGATTAAGTCCATTAAGCACCGATTTTGTCGA